ATATTGCTTTAATTTTTTTACTACAGCATTTTTATGATCTTGCTAAAAATCAGAGGGTTTCTTGTGAAAGATTAGTATATGACCAACACCTTCAACAACAAGGTTGGGCTGCAGTTGTGGCAAATTTAGAAGATATTGCCAGGTAAATATTATGATTTATTTATTTCTATTTTTGACAGACAAAACAGAATAAATTTGGATTTAATCCATTATATATTCTGTTATTACTGAAATTATATATATATAATTTCAGTAATATATATATATATACAGGGTGACCCAACAAAAACGAAACGGCGGAGTTATCGTGTTCGTCCAAGCAAATTGCTTGGACAGGTCGATTTTANTCGTTATTACGCCTGAGAACTTAGCAGATGTTTAGCTCCCAGTTGTAAAAGTTGACAGTTATTAAACAAAAGTATAGCTGTACTGTGATCTTATGACACCGTGGAATGAAGGTAGAACTACAATGTGATATTATGATGAGATGATATAAACACATCCGAATTCGGATCCTCACACAATAAATTATACGATAATACCCCGAACTTACGCGATAGGTGGGACCGAGCGATAACTGCGTAAGTCAAATTCGCGTAAGTCGGATTATAATTTCTCAATGTGTGTAAAATCCAAGTCGGATGTATGTAAGCTAATAAATGTTCTCGTTAATCTTATCTCGTTTTTTGATTCGGTCATTGTTACAAGAAATCACCACATAGAGTCTTTCGAGTCTCCATAGATATAACAAACACAGAAATAAATAACACAAAATAAATTGTAGCTATGTGTCAATTCTGCGCGACATGTCCGAACATGTAAGTTGAACAGTAGTGTGGAGGGAATGAGTAATCAAGAGTTGTGTGGTGCTCAAACAAAAGACAAATCGACGAGATTTGAAAATCACGTAACTCTGGGTTCGCGTAAGTCGGGGTAGCGTAAGTCGAGGTATCGCTGTACCATGGATTACATCTGTTTAATATATAATGTACTGTACTGTACATACATAAAAATTTTCTAAAAATATAAATACCTGGAAAGTTATATTTATATTGGTGATAACTGGACTATTAAAAAATGGGAATAAAAATAAAAATCAGATAATGAAAAATAAACTTAAAATACTAATAAAATAAAATGGTTATAGTTGTAAAATACTAATACATCATAAAACTTTATCATGATAGAATTGAGGCAGAGCCAGAAAGAAGTGATCCTTGCACTTGTTAAGTACAGAAGAGGCTATCCTCATATTTGCTGACAGAGCAAAGTGATCCAGAACAAAGTAATCTCCATCAATTGCTTTGTTCTTGTGTTTTGTTCATTTTTCACATTTATATATTAAGAATTTATATATTCAAGAATTAGGAATAGCAAAGGATTATGTGGGTGTAACCAGAAGAAACTTAGCAATATGTCTGCAAGAACACAAATACAATGTTAATAAAAGGCACAACAACACCATTTTAGCAGTCTTGGCGCAGACAGAAGGAGCGAATGTAAAATGGGATGAGACAAAAATCATTAAAATGGTCCAATCTCCATCTATTGCATCAGAAATGGAAAAAATGGAAATATATAAAAGTAAAATGAAAACCGTCACCCTAAATGCCAAGGATGCTAATATGCTTCCAACAGCATGGAAGCATGATAGAAAAAAGCATGGGGATTAAAAGCTCTTAAAGCTCGTAATTGTTACACTTAACCTTGTTATTTATTGTTATTTATTTATTCTATTTAATTTATTTTATGTACTGTGCTACTGTTTATTTATTTATTGTATTAATTTATATTTTCATTTATTTAATATATACAATTATTGTAAAAATCTTTTAAATTTAAAATGAAACGTATTCGAAAAACATTGAGTTCCATTTTGGAACGGTAATTGTAAGCCTGAAGATGGCCTATAATAAGTAGGTTGAAAACATTTGAGAATAAAATAATTTATGCTTGGCAAAAAATTCAGGTGAAAATCTTTTAAATTTAAAATGAAACGTATTCGAAAAACATTGAGTTCCATTTTGGAACGGTAATTGTAAGCCTGAAGATGACCTATAATAAGTAGGTTGAAAACATTTGAGAATAAAATAATTTATGCTTGGCAAAAAATTCAGGTGTGTTGTTATAATTGCTTCAACTGTGATATACTTAAAAAGCTTTGAACGTTTTTATTTATCCCAATATACTTAGCTAAAGACAAGGCAATGTCATATATTTGCTTATTCCAACAAAGATTGTCATCTATTTTTATACTTAGGTACTGTACTTTATAACATTTATTCTTTTGATTTTATTTTCATTTATTTCAATTTTTAGGTGATCAAGATTAACTTTTTTGTTTCTATTATCAAAGCAGAGGAATTTTGTCTTCTATTGTTAATTACCAGCCTGTTTATTTCCATATAAGTATTTAATTTTTTTAGAATGTTTAAATTCTCTTGAAGAATTTGAGCTTCTGTATAAGAAAAAATTATCTATATCGTTAGCATACATGATAATGTTATCATCTGGTATATAATTAAACAGATTATTAATATATATGTTAAAAGTAGAGGAACCAAAATGAAACCTTGAGGAATGCCCTTGTTTGGTTTAAACCAGTGTTTCTGAACGGGGGCGTTTTTCCATGTTCAGGGGGCGATTAGCAACAATTTATATTTTGGGGGCGAAAAATAATTTTCTGGGCGATATAGTAAAACATTAAGAATAATTACATTAAGTAATTACATTAAGAATAATTAGATATTTTATTTGTTACATTGTACAATAATTAAACAAATAGCATTATACTAGTCACTAGTCTATTCAATGCAGTACGTATTTGGCGTTAGCCTTATCCCTCGGCATAATTTTGTAGTGAAGGGGGCGATACTACGTAACGGTTTTATTGAAGGGGGCAATACTACGTTGAAGGGGGCGACAGTTTGTTAGAGGTTGAGAAACACTGGTTTAAACAAACTGGAGATAGCCTGTTCAATTTTAATGTAATAATTTCTGTTTGACAGATATGACTTTAGCCATTTTAAAGCAAGGAATTCTTCTTAAACCAATATTTTGCAGTTTTAATTCTAAAAGTTCCAGATCCAGTCTGTCAAATGCTTTTGACAGGTCTATGAAGACTGAAACTACTATATTTGATTCATCTAGTTGTGACGTGATTGATTGCTTAAAATGCATCAATGCATCTTCTGTCGAAAATCCTCATTTATAAGCATATTGATGACTGTGAATGATCTGGAATTTATTTATAAAAGTAGAAAATCTTTTATAGAATATCTTTTCAAAAATTTTTGCTAGAATAGAGACTGTTATAATTGGACGGTAATTATCAATATCACACTTAGATCCTTTATCCTTATATAATGGTAATACAAGATTTTGATTTAACTTTTCTGGGAAAATACCATTTTCAAAAGATTTATTTATCAGGTATGATAATGGTTGAGTTAAGATATGTGATATATATTTTAAAATTTCAATACTTAAAAAATCAATATCCAGAGAACTATTCTTCAAGCTCATTATAGTATTATATACTTCTGAAGGAATTGAGTTTTACAAAAAATAAAGTATTGGATATACTGGAACTTGCTGTATATTGCTTTAAGTTAACACTGCCGCGAACATTGTGAGCGAAACCATTCATAGATGTATAATCATTGGCAAAGATGTTATAAATTGTGTGCTTATCATCAGTAGTCTTCCCATTTTAGTTTAATTGATTTATTTTAGCTTTATTCTTTGTCTTGATTACCTTAGAGGGTAAGGTTTAATTCTTTTCCAGAAATTAGGAGAATCAATGTTAGAAGGAAAGAGTCTATAATAATTCTTCTCCTCAGTCTGAATATTCTTCCTGATTTGTTTATTCAAAATTTTTATATCCTCTAAATATTTATTTCGTTCTTCAGAGCTATTAAATTTTTTTAACATTCTTAAATAATGTTTTCTTTTGTTTTATTAATGTTAGTGTATGATCTGATATAAATTTCCTCAGGAAAGCTTTTCTGCTAATTTTGTTTTTTCTTACATATTCTCTCTTTGGAAGCTATTTATTAATAAAAATCAATAATAATAATATTTATTAATGAAAATCAAATATAAATTTGTTTATTTTTCCTTTCACTTGAGTACAGAAAGTTTCATCATAATACAGACTAACAAAACAGGCTCTGTAAATTCAATTTTGTTATTCATTAAATTTGGTTTGTAAGGGTGCTATGCACAGTTTTTTTCTGCTATTTTACTGTGTAGTACATAAATAGACAGATAACAAAACAGACATTAATAAGTCTAAAGGAAATTGCTTTTAGCCCTTGATTTAAACAAATTGATTAAAAACCTACTACTGTGAGATAGGAATAAGGACTTATCACACCAGTGATAATAAGCACAAACACTCAAAATATCAATGGGATACATTTAATAAAACGAGAATGGGTGTACATTACAAACTATTAAATTAATAATTGACATGAAATAACCAAAATGCAGTCCTTATTCCTACCTCACAGTAGTAGGTTTTTAATCAATTAATAAGTCTGTTTTTCTGTTTTGTTTTTTATCTGTTTACATATTTAACCTAAAAGAAAAGTTAACAGGATGGATAATAAAACAGACATTTATAAGAGTGTTTTGTTATACATCTATTTATGTGTTACACAGTAAAATAGCAGAAAATGACTGTAGCACATTTACAAAACAGACATTAAGAAGTCTGTTTTGTTATCCATTTCTGGTCATTTATCTACCTTTGTTTTATTAAAAAAATTTATTTTTTAAAATGTCTCCCAAAATTTCCAAAAGGGGAAACCCTTTTCCTAAGAGTATATATTGATTTTTTTAAATCTGTTTGCTTCAGTAACTTATGGATTTTCAGCTTCATTATAATATATATACACATACATACATAATTATATAAATTCATTATATTATAATAGTAAATAATTTTTTATGCAATTATTATAAGCATTACATTAATTATATTTGCATTTTTTTAGTTCCTTCAAGAATAAAGTAGCACATTTTGAATCAAATTTTCTTCAATATTTGGAATCAAGAAACTATTATGTGGAACTTTTGAAAAGGTAAATGCAAAATAATAAGTCAGATTGTTTTACTAGTACTATATTTTCATGTGGATAATGTGTGGCTTACCCATAAAAATCTATTTGAAATTAGATGCAGCTTATGTGATTTGGTTGTTTATCAGCCAGTTTTCAACATGCAATTTATTATGAAATAACGGTGTCTAAAAAATTAGTGTGCAGTGGAAAAGGTTTAAGCAAAGTTTTAATAAAAATGAAATTTTACATATGATATTGTAGTTTCACCTACAGCAAATGTTGAAAATTTCACCCAGAGATCCCAAACTCCAGGAGAATGAGATCCAGAGACCTAGCAGGCCAAATTCCATGGGAGATTATGCAATCACAAAGTTATCTTCCAAAAACTGTAGTCCAAACATTAGAAGATCTCAGAGGAAGCAGTAATACTATCTATTGCAAAGTATCTATATATAACTTTAATTTCATTACAGTTTTCTCACTGCGCATAAACTTTTCACACCATGTATTTAAACAGCTTTATCTTGCTCAAAATTACCAAAAGAATATAGAAAACATGAAAAATCTTGTGTTTACTGCAAGTATATGTATGTGTCTGTCATTAGGATCTTCCAAATACACCAAAGATCTATACAGTAGTTAAGTTTTATTCCTCCATTGTTTATTTTCTGTATAGAAATCTGCACTTTAATTGATGTTATTAGACCCTTATTCTATTCAATAGGAAAAAAATTATATAAGTTTTAATTCAGTAAAGCTGTTACTGGTTGATATATAAAAATTTGAACTTGTACTTTGAATGCTGATCAGATTTCAATAATTCCAGTTTTTCTATTTCATTTATTTTATAACTATGTTTACCATGAACTACGAATGAAAGTGAAGTGGAAGAAGTGGACAAAAATGGAATGTTTGAGATGGTTTCTCTTAAAATTCATGTTTCACTAGTGTCGGTTATGTGATGATATTACTTCAGTTTAGTAATTTTTTAAAAATTTATGGTTTAAATGCTTTTGTAGGTTATTTGCATGAAAATATGGTATATTATTTTGTAACTTTATTAATCCATAATTAAATTTTATTAAACACATTTTATACATTTATTACATTCTTAAAAAATAGAAAGTAGTTTTAACTTAAATTAATAGGAATTTTATGTAATTAAATTATGACTTTAAAATAAAAATATTCTGCATTAATTTTTGCAATTTTAGTTTCAGTCATGACATTAGCACTCTATCTAAAATACCTGTCCTACCAGTTTTGCTTAGGAAACAAGCTGAAACACATTTAGGAAGTGGTGAGGGAATTAGTTTATTACAGTGGATTAGCTCAAAAGTGAGTAGTATAAGAAATTTAAAAATAAATATATATCTTTAAAAACAGTAATGGCTTATTTTAGTCACATATTATTTGACATTATTTTCAAATTCTGCATTTTTATCAGATTTTTACTATATGAAGAAATTCAAATTTTTGGAAAAGATAATTTAACTGAACAAATTAGCATGTATTTTTTTTTTTTGTTTATTTTAAGTGATTGAAAATAAATACAAAATTAGAGATTTTTTAAAATATAAAATATATATAACAATCTAAATTAATCAAATATCAAAACTGAAATAATATTGTCTATTTGATAAAAATGCATATTCAGTAAAATTAAATTTGACTTTTTTATTTTAGTTGCATAAGATGAAGCAGTATGTTAGTAATATTTTACTTTAGTCATTCATTTACTCATTCTAGTCTATGTTAATTCACTCTACATTTCTGTCATTCTTTACTATTAGATGCTCTTTCGTGCCACATATTCAAAATTGCAAGTTGTCATGTCATCTTTTTCTCAGTTTTCTTGGGCTTCTCCAAATTTTTTAACTTTCAATTTGTTAATCTTTTAATCCATGATTATCTGTAAGATGCATCATATATCCAGCCCAATAGTTTTTGATGACTTTTTTCTGTTATGTGTGTAATTCCAGTTCATTTTATTTAGGTATCAGTCTTTTTATCTAGTTTTATGATTTCAATCATAAATCTTTGTTTTATCCATGCAACCTTTTCATTTTGTTGCTTTATGTGAATGGTGAAACATGTTTTTAACAAATATAAACAACCAACAACAATACTTTTAAAAATTCCAAACAAACTACTACATTATTATCAGACTATTTTAAGGCTATTAAATAATTAGATATAAATCGATTTGACTAGAGGTAAGCGGTTACGCTGTCATCTCTTAATAAATTTAATAATTAGAAATAAATTAATAATTTTAATTTAGAATATTTTGGAAGAAAATAATTGAACTTGTAACATCTGCTTTCTGTGTAGTTGTATTGCCAGCTATGCTAAGTGGAGCCCTGTCCAATGATGTTAAGTTTTATAATGACAAACAATGTTAAAAAAATTTTTTTTTAAGCAGAGAGGTATTGGGTTGTTTGGAAAGTAATTTCGTTTTTTTTATTACTAGAGGAATTAGATGTATTTTTACCAGCCAATTTCATTTTAAACCAAATTTACATTATATACTTTTGTGAGAACCGAGGAGGTAGAGCATCAAGCTTCTTCCCGCTTACTGGCTGCTCGGTCAAATATGGCCTTATAAGAGGGCAAAAACATGAGTGGTGAGGGGTGATGAGATCATGACAAGGTACCGATTGCACTCAAGGATAATTCAGAATTAAATATATAATAAGCATATTTAATAAATTAACTTAGGCAAACAAATACAAATCAAAAAAAGGTTATAATAATTTGTCTAATAAGACTCTAACTAACTACCTAATATCTAACTCTAAAGACATAATATAGCCGAATCTTAAACTATGCTCAAGAGAGTGACAAGGATCGAGAGAGAAAGTATCAAATTGTGGTTAGTTGCTTAACTCATGGATTCCCGCTCTCGTCATATGGGACGTTTGTAAAACGTCCCTGGATCAGTGGTTTCTAACTGTAATCTCCCTTGGATGGCGGTATGGAGCGATGGACAATATGGTGGTATGGATCTGGTGTCCCTTGATGTCCCTTGTGGTTGTATGCCGGCTGTTTGCTTTAGCTGTGTCCTCGTGGCTGTCCGCTAGGCTGATGTGTCTGCCCGGAGATGCAAGGGCAACCCCTTTTTATACACGGCATGGCATGGGAATCATCGGGGAAAAATCTGATGCAGTCACCTTTATGGCTAATGTTTACGTTAATTGAATGGTTCTTTTGATTTCGTACGTGAGAAAGCTGTCATCTTCTTAAATTATTATCCTCTGGTGGTTAGAGTCAAAACATCAACAAACTCACTGTCGCTGCACCGACCAAACCACCGACAATGAAATGATCATCACTTTGGTGATAACCGGCCATCGTTGGTACTTTGACATAGTTTCTTATCATATGGTCTACTCTTGTATTTGACCCTTCTTTGCTCCCCTCTATCATGTAACCGGTGAAGATTCTTGCTAATTGGCTACTTATTTGTATGTTGTATCAAAAGTGGAACTGAGTAAGCTCCTGCTGTGAGGGAGAACTTCCAAGACATTTCTAAGGTCACCTTTTGAAGTGACACAGTACACTAACAGATCAAAAGGTCCAGCCTCTACTTCACTGAGGGAAAAAGAGAAATAATGATAAAAATAAAAATTACTGACATGTGAAAATTTACATGGGAGTCCAAATTCTCACACTTTGATAGCTGACATTTTAAGGCTTATTTGTAAAAAATTTTCTTATGTTTTCTTAGATTAAAGTGTGTTAAGAGCCAAGAAATTTTTGTAATTCCATAACAACCAGTAAGCATAAGCGATGAAACCTGTGGTTTTTAATATCTTGATAACTCGTAAATTAAAAAGGTATGTTTTTAGAAAAACAATACCTAATATCTTTGTTATTTGTAATTTTATAGTGTTAAACTTTTGTTTTTAGTTGGCTGAAGAGGGGCAATAAATGCCCGAAACGTGTGTAATATCAACACGTATCAACTAAATAAAAACTTGATGATAAAAATTGCCAAGTGCCTGAAAATAAATACGATAATAATTTGTGTTTGAATTACTACTAATAACTACTAGCACGGTTTCAAAATACCAGAATGTAAAAAATTTTGTTTGATTCTGTACAAATGTTTTTTTTTTTATTTTTGTGTCCCATTAAATATGGAAAATTGAAATCATCATTTTCGGTATATTTTGCTTTTTTATTACCAAAAAATCAAAATGAGGTTCAAACAAGAAAAAAATTGTGGTACCTGTATGGAGATGTGTTGAGAGAAAGACAGTGACAAAACTAGTTTACAAAATTTCGTTCTAGCAATTTTAATATTGAAGATGCACCACGTTCTGGATGGCCAGTTGAAGCCAATGAAAACAAAATAAAGGTACTGATTGAAGCAAACTGCCAAATAACAATACCTGAAATCACTAAGAGATAAAATTTGTTGAATTGAACCATTTATGATTACTTGAAATGAATTGGTTTCGTTTAAGGCGCGATATATGGGTTTCACATGTTCTTAAAGAGAGTTGCTCTCTTTGGTGGGATTTTAAGAAAAATTTTTTTTCTTTCTTTTTTTTTTGAGTTTATATCAGACAATTTAACAATTGATTCGAAAATGTGCTGCTATCAAGCAAACAAATTGAGTAATATCATCAAACAGAAAAGGCCAGAATTGATCAACAAAAAAGTTGTAGTGTTTTATCACGATAATGTCAAATTTCACACAAGTTTGGTAACTCGTCAGAAACTGTTATAGCTTAGATGGGACATGCTATCACACCAACCATATTTGCCAGATCAGGCACCCTCACATTATTACTTGTTCTGGTCTATACAAAATTTTTTAAACTGTAAGACATTTACTTGAAATGAAAATGTCAAAAATCACTTTGATCAGTTTTTTGTAAGCAAGGATCAAAACTTTTATGAACATGGAATCATGCTACTACCAGAAATGATGGCAACAGGTATTTGACCAAAATGGTCAATATATAATTCAATAAAATATTTATTTATTATGAAAATATTGTTTTTTTTCGACGGGAAAAAAATGAAATTACTTTCTGAACAACCCAATATATTACTCTTAAAACTGAGTTTATTATTATTAAATATTTGCCATTCTGCTATTATTTTTTGATGACATATCCATATCTAATTCACAGAGATTTATAATTTGTTCTCCCAATTATTTGACTTGATTTCTTCTATGTTTTGCTGATTCATAGTTAACTGATATGTAATTCAGCATATTTTTATTAAACAATATTTTGTTTTATTTGTATTTATTTTAAGACCTATCTTTTCAGTTTCCTTGTTTGTTTATTTGATCTCATTTTAATTCTTTTGATTCTTTGAAATCAAACTAACATTATTACATATGAGAGAGTCATATGTAACAATGTTAAAGTAACAAGGATGAATCAGATTAGAATGAACATTTAAATTGGGATAGTAAAGGTGACAGACGTGGCTGGGAAAATTCAGGAGACAAGATTGAGATAGTTCAGGCACATTATGAGGAAAAAAGACAACTATATGTAAAGGAAGAGTATGGCAGTGGAAATTGATGGAAAACAGAGAAGAAGACTATCAGAGAAAAGAGATTGAAGGAAAAATAAATAAGACATAGTTTGGAGGAAGGTTGTTAAAACCAGCAATGCCATATTAAAAATATATTAAGCTAAGTGAAGAGGTCTTTACAATCAAAATAATGTCATCTTCAAATTGAATTTATTTAGATAAATCTCATCTATAGTTATTTTATTATAAATTCTTGGTAAACACTTATGTGGCTGCATATGCAGCAATAGAAAACCACTCATGATTGTACCTGTGTTAAAATATGGATGGTGCAAAGAACCCCGAAAGGACAAAAAAACAAAATACAGGAAAATACAGGATTTATTCGTGGACAAAATTTTTACACAAGCGCCCACTATAATTTTATGGGGTAAGTGAAATTGAGTACACCGAATCCCTACTCGACCTCACTCGCGTACAACGGGAGACAAAAGCCTTATGCACGTGGTGTTACAATCGAATGAAGGTTCGCGACAATAGAGTACAACTACCAACTTAATTACTATGGTTATAACTACCTTACGAACTAAGATTAAACTATGGAAGGATGATAGTAAGCACAAATAGGAAGACGTATAGAAAGGTTAGGAAAAAGGGTACCCAGAATATTCGGATGTGATATCTTCCTGTTGGAGGGGGAAACTGTAATTCAGCCTGAAGACGCAAACGATTCTTGATTCAAACTTTCTCTGTCCTTCCCTTGATGGATCGATCATCCGCTGTCCTTCTCCTCTCCAAAATGAATCCTGTCCAAGATGTCCATCCGCTCGCTTCCTCGTCTACTTCAAGAGTGACCCTTTTCTCTCCCTATCTGCCTCAGGGCCAATACTCCCTGCCTGGCCTCGTTCTCGTCGATGTCCTCCCCCTCCAACAAACAGGAAGTGAAGAGTGGAAAGACAAAGAAGTGAGAAGACAAAGAACACAAAAAAGAATTGTTATTACTAGACTTATGATTATCGCGTATACAATAATATGGAATTTTGCCACACCTGTATGAAAACAATGAGCTCTTACAGCAAAATTCACATTCTTTCATGTTTTCATGTTTAGGATTTAATGTCCTAAATGAACTTAAATTGAAAAGTTTCCAAAGGCAGATATTTTGATGATGATACTTAATGAAAAGTTACAAAATCAGTTTCTTGATGGTTGCATTTCAGAACTTCTGTTCTTGACTTATTGATAATAGAAAGGATGAAGTAAAGTCTTATTTGATACCAATTTTCTTTGTACAGTTTTCATTATAATTTTAATTTTTACATGCAAGTTAATTTATTAATGTAAAAATTTTTTAAAAATTCATAAATGTGGAAAATATAAAAATGAATAGAAGTAAAACAATTAGATTTAATTGAACTTGAATGAAAAAAAAGTCTGTTGGAGGAATTAACGTGATATTAATAATTACAAATTAATTGAATTAATTTACTATAACTTTGTTAACTAAATAAGAATATATAGCAAATTATTTATAATGTCATAGTTTGATGGATTTATCAGCTATTCTTAGTGATAAAAAAAATTTATTTTTACTACTAAGAATAAAAGTTTCTTTGTCACAGTTGAACACTATATTTAGTGCTTCAGATGGTTATACAGTATGATTGCACTAAACAGGAAAAATGAATGCTAAATCTGAATGCAAAAGTGAGCCAGAACAAATTGAGATTGATGTTTCCTCACATGATAATCATTCTTTAGTAAATGAACTGTGGTTTTTTCAGTATTTCCCATAAATGAACTGGCTTCTCTTAGTGTCCACAGGGCAGAAAGTATAAAAAAAAAAGCCACAAATAAACTGGCTTAATCAGTGGCAGAACTGCCATTGCTTCTGCCTGTCCTTGAAGATACATAGTAACCTATCCTTTGAGATGCTCATCAGAATTTCTTCTGATTGTTTGACCACTGCTATTATGGATGAAGAATGCATTCCTGTAACTTCATCTTTAGTGCTGAAATAGGAGAAAGTCATTGTGTTAAACCTAAGCTGTATGATGAATATGGGAGAAATGAGATGTTTTGACAAAAATGCTATTTTAGCAACATCAATTGAAAATGTACAGCTGTCAGCCACTAGCACAGAAGTTGGAAAGTTTCCTATGGATGTTTTTCAACAGTACAAAACTGTTGGATAATACTGTCTAATGATTTAATGTGATGTCCCAACATATTGGTACACTGTTCCTTAACAACCAAAGATGTTGATGATTATTGCTTTATAAACTGACACAGTACGTTTTTTTTTTTTTTTTTTGGAATGGGAGGGGGTAGTGATCTGTTTGCACTAGTGACAACTGTAAAATTGCATCATGTAGATTGACCATCAAATGTTGCAGCTTTTGACAAATTTCCATCTGAATGTGCTTCTGTTCAGGCATCAAAAGCCAAAGAACCCATCAGAAACAAATAAGTTTCTTAAGTCCTTAGTTTCTGGTCATGCAAAATTGTATGAACATTATTAAGGAAAACATTCAACATATCAACCTAAGTTCATTGATGGTGACTGCAGTCTTTTTGGATGATTTGTTTTTCTGTGTCTCAGTCATCAGTGTTTAACTTTGATCAGTACTCATCCAGGAGTTTGTACAGTACATTTCTCTTCTTTGTAGTTGATTCTTAGTTTTCAGAAATAACTTGAATCATTTGAAATGCTGCATATTGTGAAAGAGCTAAAACTTATAAGGTTCAGTATCTAATGCAAACACATAGCTTCTGAGGCACAGTACATTAAACTGCATGTACTATGCCTAAGATACTAACAATCAATAAATTTACATGCTGTATGACTTTGAATATGCAATGTAAGCCTTCCATTACTATTGGATACCAAACATTTGGTGTAATTGAAAATAGTTAAAAGATTTTGGCCTCTATTCTTACATGCTTACATCATGCTTAAATTATATTTTTGCTCATACAAAATTATTTAAAGTTGTTATTTTTGATGGAAATTATTTATTATATTACATGATATATATATTTAAATGAAATATGATAAAGATAAACATTTATAGATTTTAATCATATTTTTCAATAGTTTATTATTATTTTACTTGTATAGAGAAAATAACTGTATTTATGTGAATTTAGCAGATAATTTACTTTTTTATAATTCTGTTATTATTAAGAGATATTTAAATTGGGATAGTAAAGGTGACAGACGTGGCTGGGAAAATTCAGGAGACAACTATTTTAAGGCTATTAAATAATTAGATATAAATCGATTTGACTAGAGGTAAGCGGTTACGCTGTCATCTCTTAATAAATTTAATAATTAGAAATAAATTAATAATTTTAATTTAGAATATTTTGGAAGAAAATAATTGAACTTGTAACATCTGCTTTCTGTGTAGTTGTATTGCCAGCTATGCTAAGTGGAGCCCTGTCCAATGATGTTAAGTTTTATAATGACAAACAATGNACTGTGAGTAATGTTCAATATTTGTTAAAGAAAAAATAAACTGTATTGTCTTGACTATAAAAATCATATCATCAATTCAAACCAAAACAAATTTTGACTAGAATAATAATGGTTTACCTCTAATCTATATTATTGTGCCATTAAACCCAGTATTTTAACAAAATTTTGGGTAGAACTATATATGCATTCTTAATGTAAACCTAATGATTTAACAAGATCGTATAAAATTTTTTAAATTATTGTGCCTGTTTTTTTAGTTTAGAATGTATTTGAGCCTTTTTCTGATTGTGCTGAGTGCTGTTTTTACTTTCTATGATATTAATATAAGATATGTACAGTTTCATTTGTCCTGTTTTAGGATACGCATGACTTATGTACTGCAGTTTTTTAAAACAATTTTTACATGTTCAGTTTTTTATTTTTAAATACCACTTTTTATTAATTCTTACTTAATTGTATTTTTCTACAATACAATTAAGTAAGAATTGAATAAATAATCTGAATCCATTGTTTTAAATAATTATTTTGAACTTTTTATTAACTTACTCTGCTTTTTAGTTTGTTTTTCTAGATAAAATCTTGTAACTCAGTTTTCACCATTTCTCAATTTCTGATCTATTTGAAACTTTGCTATTTGAAACTATTTATTTGAAACCTATTCCTGTTGACAGTACATATTTTTGAGAGTTTGCAAACAATTTTAGCAAAAAATCAATGAAATCTCATAAAGAATAATATAAGTTAAAATTAAATGCTAAACCAAAACATCTTTTAATAATTCAGCATTACGTAGAAAATAAAAAATATATTTAAAAAATTTTAAAGAAATGCTTTTTATTTACATAAATGTCCTAAAAAGTGCAAAAAATTGTATTTGGCATTCACAGTATTCTTGGTATTATGTGACCAAAAATAAAAGCATGAGGCAATCATGTTTAGAAATATTCTTAGTTATATTTTCTAACAATTTTTATGGCCTTTCCATGATCAACACTCATAGTTTTAATTTTGATCACATAATACCAAGAATACTGTGAAAGCTTAAAAAATTTTATTTTTTACCTTTTAGTGCATTTATGTGAACAGAAAAGCATTTCTTTAAAAATTTTTAAAAATATTTTTAATAAAAGTCAGTGAATTACCCTCAGATTTATAAAACAATGTTAATACAATAGAGAGTAAAATGTTCTAGTCAAAGATGAAATTATGAATAAGTGGAAAAATTCAAAGATGTGATACAGATGACACATTCTTAAATAATAAATAATGCATTAATAGCTTATTAAAACAAGTTAAAATGTTTTTAAATATTATTAGTAAGTTTGTGAATTATTATAAGAAATGTTAAAAGGAGGAGATTTATATTGGAAATCAATGCAAAATTTTTACATATTTTCTTGATTCTTGCATAAAAACAAAACAAAAAAGTGACAAGCGAGTACTTCTGGTGAGTTACACCCAATATTTCCAAGGGCTCGCAAATCTTGAAGTAAGGATAAGATTAGGAATGTTAAGGAAATGATTAGAAAAAACATCTACCTAGCCAGAGGACAATAGCAAAATGTCTGTATATATCTCAGTTCATAGTTAACATCATTATACATGAAGATCTGCAAGCAGCTATTAAGAAAAATTCATCTGGACATCGCCTCACATCTGTGCACAAACAGAACCAAAAGACTAATGCAAAGAAGCTTTATGAGAGGCATCTGACTGGAGGAAAAAGCGAGTACATGGCCACCCTAGATGAAGCGTATATATACCTTGATTACTGCAATGGAACTCAAAAAATTTTATATGTGCAGCCCGGACAGGAAGTGCCAGAAGAATGTCTTGTCAAATGTCACGAAAGATGGTCTGAAGGATTTATGATTGTTGGGGAAATGATGAGCCGGGGAACACTTCTTCTTATTAGAGTGTCAAAAACTGTGAAAGTTAACACTAATTACTATATGGAGAACATTTTGAAACCATATTTGAAATGTGAGATTCCAAAGCTGTATCCTGGAGAAGAAGCCAAAGTGACTCTTCACCATGACAAAGCATCTAGCCACACAGCTAGATATATAATTGCTTATCTCCAGAAATTGAAGACCAATGGTGGACCAAACCACATTCCTGCAGAGGACATACCCACCAAAGCACCTGACATCCTGATGGATTTCTTTGGATTTGGCTTCCTGAAGCAACGTCTCTTTCTTTGTAAGACATTAGATGGGCATTGGAAAGTAATTCAACAGGAGTAGTCATCAGTATTGGTTGAAACTTGCAAGGTGGTCTTCGAATCATGGAATTGTCAATGACATGCTGTGAGCCAACGAGATGGAGAACACATCCAGCAGACAAAGACAATTCATTGATGGCTGCTTTGTGAAAGGAACTAAGTGAAAAAGTGAGTCACAATTATCAAATCACCCTCTGTATTGTATATTTTCTGAATTTTTCATTTAGACAGTTAAATCAATTGCAAAAAGTTTTTTAATCAGAAAAAGAATTTTAAATATCCTTTATACTTTAATATTTTTTAAAATCAATATTTTAGTTTGAGTAAATTAATACAAACTGATTNATACATTTATTACATTCTTAAAAAATAGAAAGTAGTTTTAACTTAAATTAATAGGAATTTTATGTAATTAAATTATGACTTTAAAATAAAAATATTCTGCATTAATTTTTGCAATTTTAGTTTCAGTCATGACATTAGCACTCTATCTAAAATACCTGTCCTACCAGTTTTGCTTAGGAAACAAGCTGAAACACATTTAGGAAGTGGTGAGGGAATTAGTTTATTACAGTGGATTAGCTCAAAAGTGAGTAGTATAAGAAATTTAAAAATAAATATATATCTTTAAAAACAGTAATGGCTTATTTTAGTCACATATTATTTGACATTATTTTCAAATTCTGCATTTTTATCAGATTTTTACTATATGAAGAAATTCAAATTTTTGGAAAAGATAATTTAACTGAACAAATTAGCATGTATTTTTTTTTTTGTTTTTTTTAAGTGATTGAAAATAAATACAAAATTAGAGATTTTTTAAAATATAAAATATATATAACAATCTAAATTAATCAAATATCAAAACTGAAATAATATTGTCTATTTGATAAAAATGCATATTCAGTAAAATTAAATTTGACTTTTTTATTTTAGTTGCATAAGATGAAGCAGTATGTTAGTAATATTTTACTTTAGTCATTCATTTACTCATTCTAGTCTATGTTAATTCACTCTACATTTCTGTCATTCTTTACTATTAGATGCTCTTTCGTGCCACATATTCAAAATTGCAAGTTGTCATGTCATCTTTTTCTCAGTTTTCTTGGGCTTCTCCAAATTTTTTAACTTTCAATTTGTTAATCTTTTAATCCATGATTATCTGTAAGATGCATCATATATCCAGCCCAATAGTTTTTGATGACTTTTTTCTGTTATGTGTGTAATTCCAGTTCATTTTATTTAGGTATCAGTCTTTTTATCTAGTTTTATGATTTCAATCATAAATCTTTGTTTTATCCATGCAACCTTTTCATTTTGTTGCTTTATGTGAATGGTGAAACATGTTTTTAACAAATATAAACAACCAACAACAATACTTTTAAAAATTCCAAACAAACTACTACATTATTATCAGACTATTTTAAGGCTATTAAATAATTAGATATAAATCGATTTGACTAGAGGTAAGCGGTTACGCTGTCATCTCTTAATAAATTTAATAATTAGAAATAAATTAATAATTTTAATTTAGAATATTTTGGAAGAAAATAATTGAACTTGTAACATCTGCTTTCTGTGTAGTTGTATTGCCAGCTATGCTAAGTGGAGCCCTGTCCAATGATGTTAAGTTTTATAATGACAAACAATGTTAAAAAAATTTTTTTTTAAGCAGAGAGGTATTGGGTTGTTTGGAAAGTAATTTCGTTTTTTTTATTACTAGAGGAATTAGATGTATTTTTACCAGCCAATTTCATTTTAAACCAAATTTACATTATATACTTTTGTGAGAACCGAGGAGGTAGAGCATCAAGCTTCTTCCCGCTTACTGGCTGCTCGGTCAAATATGGCCTTATAAGAGGGCAAAAACATGAGTGGTGAGGGGTGATGAGATCATGACAAGGTACCGATTGCACTCAAGGATAATTCAGAATTAAATATATAATAAGCATATTTAATAAATTAACTTAGGCAAACAAATACAAATCAAAAAAAGGTTATAATAATTTGTCTAATAAGACTCTAACTAACTACCTAATATCTAACTCTAAAGACATAATATAGCCGAATCTTAAACTATGCTCAAGAGAGTGACAAGGATCGAGAGAGAAAGTATCAAATTGTGGTTAGTTGCTTAACTCATGGATTCCCGCTCTCGTCATATGGGACGTTTGTAAAACGTCCCTGGATCAGTGGTTTCTAACTGTAATCTCCCTTGGATGGCGGTATGGAGCGATGGACAATATGGTGGTATGGATCTGGTGTCCCTTGATGTCCCTTGTGGTTGTATGCCGGCTGTTTGCTTTAGCTGTGTCCTCGTGGCTGTCCGCTAGGCTGATGTGTCTGCCCGGAGATGCAAGGGCAACCCCTTTTTATACACGGCATGGCATGGGAATCATCGGGGAAAAATCTGATGCAGTCACCTTTATGGCTAATGTTTACGTTAATTGAATGGTTCTTTTGATTTCGTACGTGAGAAAGCTGTCATCTTCTTAAATTATTATCCTCTGGTGGTTAGAGTCAAAACATCAACAAACTCACTGTCGCTGCACCGACCAAACCACCGACAATGAAATGATCATCACTTTGGTGATAACCGGCCATCGTTGGTACTTTGACATAGTTTCTTATCATATGGTCTACTCTTGTATTTGACCCTTCTTTGCTCCCCTCTATCATGTAACCGGTGAAGATTCTTGCTAATTGGCTACTTATTTGTATGTTGTATCAAAAGTGGAACTGAGTAAGCTCCTGCTGTGAGGGAGAACTTCCAAGACATTTCTAAGGTCACCTTTTGAAGTGACACAGTACACTAACGGATCAAAAGGTCCAGCCTCTACTTCACTGAGGGAAAAAGAGAAATAATGATAAAAATAAAAATTACTGACGTGTGAAAATTTACATGGGAGTCCAAATTCTCACACTTTGATAGCTGACATTTTAAGGCTTATTTGTAAAAAATTTTCTTATGTTTTCTTAGATTAAAGTGTGTTAAGAGCCAAGAAATTTTTGTAATTCCATAACAACCAGTAAGCATAAGCGATGAAACCTGTGGTTTTTAATATCTTGATAACTCGTAAATTAAAAAAGGTATGTTTTTAGAAAAACAATACCTAATATCTTTGTTATTTGTAATTTTATAGTGTTAAACTTTTGTTTTTAGTTGGCTGAAGAGGGGCAATAAATGCCCGAAACGTGTGTAATATCAACACGTATCAACTAAATAAAAACTTGATGATAAAAATTGCCAAGTGCCTGAAAATAAATACGATAATAATTTGTGTTTGAATTACTACTAATAACTACTAGCACGGTTTCAAAATACCAGAATGTAAAAAATTTTGTTTGATTCTGTACAAATGTTTTTTTTTTTATTTTTGTGTCCCATTAAATATGGAAAATTGAAATCATCATTTTCGGTATATTTTGCTTTTTTATTACCAAAAAATCAAAATGAGGTTCAAACAAGAAAAAAATTGTGGTACCTGTATGGAGATGTGTTGAGAGAAAGACAGTGACAAAACTAGTTTACAAAATTTCGTTCTAGCAATTTTAATATTGAAGATGCACCACGTTCTGGATGGCCAGTTGAAGCCAATGAAAACAAAATAAAGGTACTGATTGAAGCAAACTGCCAAATAACAATACCTGAAATCACTAAGAGATAAAATTTGTTGAATTGAACCATTTATGATTACTTGAAATGAATTGGTTTCGTTTAAGGCGCGATATATGGGTTTCACATGTTCTTAAAGAGAGTTGCTCTCTTTGGTGGGATTTTAAGAAAAATTTTTTTTCTTTCTTTTTTTTTTGAGTTTATATCAGACAATTTAACAATTGATTCGAAAATGTGCTGCTATCAAGCAAACAAATTGAGTAATATCATCAAACAGAAAAGGCCAGAATTGATCAACAAAAAAGTTGTAGTGTTTTATCACGATAATGTCAAATTTCACACAAGTTTGGTAACTCGTCAGAAACTGTTATAGCTTAGATGGGACATGCTATCACACCAACCATATTTGCCAGATCAGGCACCCTCACATTATTACTTGTTCTGGTCTATACAAAATTTTTTAAACTGTAAGACATTTACTTGAAATGAAAATGTCAAAAATCACTTTGATCAGTTTTTTGTAAGCAAGGATCAAAACTTTTATGAACATGGAATCATGCTACTACCAGAAATGATGGCAACAGGTATTTGACCAAAATGGTCAATATATAATTCAATAAAATATTTATTTATTATGAAAATATTGTTTTTTTTCGACGGGAAAAAAATGAAATTACTTTCTGAACAACCCAATATATTACTCTTAAAACTGAGTTTATTATTATTAAATATTTGCCATTCTGCTATTATTTTTTGATGACATATCCATATCTAATTCACAGAGATTTATAATTTGTTCTCCCAATTATTTGACTTGATTTCTTCTATGTTTTGCTGATTCATAGTTAACTGATATGTAATTCAGCATATTTTTATTAAACAATATTTTGTTTTATTTGTATTTATTTTAAGACCTATCTTTTCAGTTTCCTTGTTTGTTTATTTGATCTCATTTTAATTCTTTTGATTCTTTGAAATCAAACTAACATTATTACATATGAGAGAGTCATATGTAACAATGTTAAAGTAACAAGGATGAATCAGATTAGAATGAACATTTAAATTGGGATAGTAAAGGTGACAGACGTGGCTGGGAAAATTCAGGAGACAAGATTGAGATAGTTCAGGCACATTATGAGGAAAAAAGACAACTATATGTAAAGGAAGAGTATGGCAGTGGAAATTGATGGAAAACAGAGAAGAAGACTATCAGAGAAAAGAGATTGAAGGAAAAATAAATAAGACATAGTTTGGAGGAAGGTTGTTAAAACCAGCAATGCCATATTAAAAATATATTAAGCTAAGTGAAGAGGTCTTTACAATCAAAATAATGTCATCTTCAAATTGAATTTATTTAGATAAATCTCATCTATAGTTATTTTATTATA